CGAAGTAGTTTTGGCGCCTTCCTAACATGTTACGAGGCTGTCAGAGGCGGTTGCCACCTACTACGAATACCCTTACTGGTTGACCTGACCTGACCTGACCCGACCTGGCCTAAATACATGAAGACATCATCTGTGATCAAAACTAACATGATATTCGTGATCAGCACCCCGAAAAACCCCATAGCAGCCACACTTTACGACGTTCAAACAGGTCCCGATTTTCCCGCCTTTGGGGTCATTGACCTGACCTGCAAGGTCAACCAATGACCTAGGACCCCAAAATTGGGTATCATCGGCTTCCTCTCGTCACGGGCAGCACGCTCATTTTTTTCGCGAAGCTCTAGCTTGATCAGGGGCGAAACGGCAAGGGGGGGTCCAACGGACCCCCCCCCCCTATACGTTCGCGGCTGGAAAAAAACACCAATACGGGCGAGGGCTAGAATTGCTAAAAATTGAGTTTGAAAATTTGACGTCATCAATTTTGACCAGTTTTTTGCTATAACTTGGCCAAAAAAAGAGGTACCGTAAACCGGGGTGAGTTGATATGGGGTGGTGAGTTGATATAAATTGCTCGAAAAATGTTAAAATGTGTGCTGCTCATCCATTTGTAAACCAATTTTCATTTTTATTTTTCTGTGAAGTGAAGCAACCAATAAGTGATGCATATAGCTGAGAAAGGCATGCATGTGGTGCAGTGCCTTCTTAACACATTACTTTTTTCAAAGTCCTTTTTTTCTTCTGATTTTGAAACTAAGGAAAAGTCCCCACCCTACAGCAAAGACGGTGGATATTCATGAAACAACATGCACTGGGAAAGAAACTACCATCAATTTACTGTTGATCCCAGGTAGTTTTGGGTTTCATCTATAACAACGCTCTTTTATAATTTTAAGAAAAGTGACAGGTGGTGAGTTGATATGCCATCAGGTGGTGAGTTGATATGCATGATAAAAGCTGATACCAGGCTGGTAGGCAGGCAAATTAGCATGAAATATGGGTCTGCAGGTAAGACAAAGTCAATTAGACCAACTCTTCTCCTTTTCTTTCCCCACATCATTCCATCAACCCCCCAAAAGCTTTAGTTTTTTTTTTCTGAATGCTTGAGACGAGGCTTGTTAGTATCACTGATGTTAGTTGTCGGACTTTCGTCCCTGTCTTGAGTTGAGATGTTACTTTCACAACGTTTCACCCAGTAACTTCTCCGGCCGTAGTCAAACCCGCCTCGATAGTGGAGTGGTTACAACCGTGGACCATCACCGGGGAAACCCGAGTTCGATTCCCGCTGACTACAGGAGCTTTCGAACTGTTTGATGCGTACGGCGCAACGCCACCAACATCCAGGTCCTTCTGAGGGTTCAAAGAACACCTGACGAGTGACGACGGCCGGAGAGTAACTGGCCGAAACGTTGTGAAACTAACATCTCAACTCAAGACGGGGACGAAGGTCCGACAGCTTACATCAGTAACCCCAAGGTTTTCTTCTGTGGACATACCTAACATGCAAAAGGCACAGCACAACTCCCTGTCAAGTCTCAAGATGGCTCCCTACAAGCTACAAAGGAACACTATAGAACACCTATATTACATACAGATTAAAAAACTGTTATAATTATTCGTAGTTTCGAAAATGACAGAACTGTCATTTCTGTATGGCTAACAGCGCGGGAATTCTGATCTCGTGAAACTGATAAGTTTTCCTGCTTGGCAGTTGCCAACCGAGAATGAGTGACAAAATGAAATGGAACAAACAATGTAAAGAAATTGACTGGTGTTTAGCCCTCGCCCGTATTCGTGTTTTGCCAGCGTTTAACGTATAGGGGGGGGGGGGGGGGTCCGTTGGAATCCCATCGTCGTTTGGCCCCTGGTGGAGCTAGAGCTTCGCGGAAAAAATGAGCGTGTTGCCCGAGACGCGAGGAAGCCGATGATAACCAACTTTAAGGTCCTAGGTCATTGGTTAACCTTCCAGGCCAGGTCAATTACCCAGAAGTCGGGAAAATAGGGGGTTATTTGAAGTTCGTAAAGCGAGTTTATTATTTTTTGGCTGTTGCTGATCACGAATATCATGTTAGTTTTGATCACAGATGTCTTCGTACATTTAGGCCAGGTCAGATCAGGTCAGGTCAACCAGTAGGTGTCCTGCCGGCTATCCATAGGGAGTGTCAAGTGTCAGCTACCACTGACGGTGTCGTAACATGTTACGAAGGCACTAAAACTACTTCATAAATGATCAAATGCATGTTAAATTCGAAATCGGCCCGAAAAAAAATACCCTAGAAACATGTAAAACTCCAAAAAGTGAACCGAGGTCACCACAGGTCAATGACCTGACCTGACCTTCAGGTGACCTTCACAGTTGACACCCACAATACTGCGTGGGACCAACATCATTTACATGTTTGGACGTTACAATCACAAAAAGACTGGAAATGCGCGGATAATGTGAGCCGACTACGCCAAATCGCGATTCCGGCCAAGCATGGTCTCGAGAATCAGGTCACAAGTCAAAAACCATTTGAGTCAGGGTCATGAAGTCTTTAGAACATGTGTAAAATTGATAAACTCGAGAGGTACTGAAAGTTTCGTCGTGATCGGCCGCTTTTTGCGCGAGTTATGTGCGAAAAGCCGAGGTGGTCCGTTCGCCCGCCTATAAGTGCGAGGGTTAATTTTGGCTTTTGATGCCGAATTCTGTTTTATGTCGCTTATTTCACCTTATAGAATACAGTCCGAATTAGATTCGCTTCACTTCACTTCATTAATATTTTGTTGACTACCAGTCAACAAAAGCTCAGAAGTATATGTATTCTTTCATTTCAATCCATTATCTCTGTCAGAGGCATATCAACCTTGACCCGCAACTGACAATATGTTTTAATTACAAGAAAATACACTTGTAATTCCAAAATATTTTGCCAGTTTTGATACCGTTGGCTTGAGGACACGTGACTAGCCAAGTTCAGAATGTTCTAAGTAAAACTAAGTATCATAAAACGAAAAAATGATGCTGCTAAAATCAAGCCATTTTGATAGCGCTGTGTTGGACATGATTGCGTTTTCATGAATGTGAGGTCTGCTGCCAAACTACTACCATTTTTCTGATGGTTTCTTTTAGGATGTGTTCTCACATTCTTTTTTTAAACACTGGCATTTTATCAACTCACCTCTGAGCTTCTTTAGCCGAGAAATTTTGAAAAATCCAAAACCATATCAACTCACCACCCCCCAGGGGGTGAGTTGATATGAACTTTGGCGTTTTAAAAAAGGGGCTTAATATATACATTTTTTATTCATTTTTGCTGATTGCCTGCCCAAGGCATGTGCCATGAAACTGGCACAAAAAGAATTCCGAAAATGAATGTGACTTTTAAAGAAATCTAGAAAAACCTCAAAATCCATATCAACTCACCCCGGTTTACGGTATCGATCTCAAATTTGGTATGTAGATAGAAGGCGGTAAGGACTATCACATATCTTCTGGTTTTTCGAAAATCAATTTTTTTTATTTTTCGGCTATTATATTCAAAAAAAATATTTTTTTTTAATTTTTGGGGGTCAAAATCCAAAACATTCAAAAATCCGACATGGTAGTTTTGTAGCCTCCTAAATTCTACACCTTTATGTCTGAAACATTTTTCTGTATCTCTAAAGCTGTAGGCCTGACAGCTCTTCTCGCGAAACCCTTTTTTGGGTCGAAAATGGCAGAAATAACGTCACTCTGACGTCATGAGCGTCCAACCTATCATAGCCTTTGGATTTTTTTTTGGCACAATGTGCAATAGGTATTCACGGGAGGGTTCTGAAAGTTTGCTGACGATCGGCGCAGCGGTTCTCGAGATATATCGAAAAAAACTAAGGGGGGGGGGGCAAAAAATGCCCTTCCCACCGCCTGAAAGGTTAACGAGCGACTTACCAAGACCCGAGACGGAGGAAGTACTTCCGGTGCTCGGGCGTTCAACCCAAAAGTCTTCAAAAACGAAGAAGATTCCAGCAGATGTCCCATCGAGGCTTACAAGAAGTTTGCCGCACACCGCCCAAAGGAAATGCTGGATGACGATAGTCCATTTTTCTTGGCGGTAAAAAACTGCTAGTCCCCAGAGAAAGACACAACTTTCAAGGGTACAAGAAGGCTCCCATGGGGAAAAATAAGCTAGCTTCATTCCTCAAAGAAGCGTGTGAAAAAGCAGGCATCAGAGGAAAAAGAAGCAATCACTCGGCACGCAAAACGTACGTAAAAAGAGCTCTAGACACCGGATGGCCACAGGAATGTGTACGGCCCAGCTAACTGGGCACAAGTCTGTGGCGAGTCTAAAACGCTACGCTGTAGCAGACGTGCATGTTCAGAGGGCTCTGTGCACTAGCATCATGAATGGGTCAGAGTTTCCGGCCACAAAGAAAGACGAAGTCATCCTCGGAGGTCACCGTGGCACCCGGCGCTACCTTCGTTTTTAACATCAGCAACTGCCAAAACGTGAACGTTTCAGGAAAGTAGGCGGTTCTTGTACATATGTACATAACTGTCGTTCGTCGAGCAAAGTGAACGAACCGCGCATTACTTGGTAAACCACCAATTTAAAGACTCATAGATTAGTGCCCGACTGCATGCACTTGCGTCAGTGTCTTACCGAAATACAGTTTTGGATGTTTGATCAATGTCTTTGTTTCATCATTATTAAACGAAGTTTTTCTTTGCTTTGGCAGGTTTCTCTTTCTCAGGAAATGCTTCAAAAGTTCGCTAGTAAAATGTTTTGCCCATGGGCCGAAACCTTTGTCCAATTGCCTTTAACATTATGCGGTTTAATCCAAAAAGCTTTTACCGCGCTAATGCTAAAGGCATACTTCGGCATATGCTAAAGCAAAAGACCGCGTATGTCCCAGTGCGCATATGCAATTTATCAAAGTAGCCTTTTGTTACTTGTTTGCATAAAGCGCGTAAGCAGTGTCGACATCATTGTCCCTACCAGCTTCTAGGCGCACCCCCAGCTGACCGGCTGCGCTGTCCCCAGGCGAGCTGGCCATTTTGGCTCTGGCTCCGCTCACCACAGTTGCTCTGGCGACGCGCCTCGACCCGGAGTTCAGCAGCAACGTCGGCGACATCGTCATCATGGGCGGCAACTTCACAGGTGAGCAAATCGGCCGACAGGCGCGCACCATCGCACACTGCCGCTATCAGGGTTTGAATGTGGCCAAAATGAAGTAACTCGCTAGCCGATGAACACAATGGGGTTGGGAACTCGATTTTTTAAGAATGTATAGAAACCAGTATAACGCCTTTTGGGGCGACTAACGGAGCGAGCGAGAGGGTGGGCCTTGCACGTGCGAAATTGCGAGGGGTACCTCCAACTGACTTGTGCACGGCACCCTACTAACCGGTCTCTAGCGATGTGCCAAATTTGGGCACAATCGGCCCAGCCGTTCTCGAGATCTGGAAGCGGCACCCTGCACGTGCGCACGTGCAAAATGGGTCCCAACTCCCAACTGACTTGTGCACGGCACCCTACTAACCGGTCCCTAACTGTGTACCAAATTTGAGCGCAATCGGTCGAGCCGTTCTCGAGATCTGGAAACGACCCCTGCACGTGCGCACGTGCAGCAGCACCCCAACTCTGGCACATGGATATGCAGTGCCTAGTGGGTACCTACCTACATGCCAACTTTCAGCGCAATCGGTCAAGTAGTTACCAAGATATTGCAACAATTACAAAAGTGACACCTCTTCGTTTTGCACGTGGCACGTGCATAAGGGGTCACCCACACGCTTCGGGAATAGTCCAATACTTCGGTCCTTGGGGTCGGCCTTGATCGAGATCGTTGGTTGCGGACCCACGGACTGGGCCACTGCCCAGTAAGTGGTTCGTTGTTTGGAATTCTTTCATGTTTGCTTCATGTGGTTTGCATGAGACTTACGCCAACCTAATAACAGATATGTGGCCGAAAATATTGTGTTCATTTTTAATTAAATACTGAGTTAGAGTACTTCGTTTGTCATGTGACATCCGTGGCGGGTCGAAGACGAGATTTGGCGCTCACTTTCAACCTGGTTGTCTGATCTTGCAAGCCCCTTTTATCGACTATCTTGATCACTGCGCTGCTGTGCAAGGTATTTTCTTTCATGGGCCGGGAGAAAAGCATCGCTGGACGACAATTTCGTATTAAATGACTATGTTAATGATGTTCTCTTTTATATCATTTTTGAAGCACGCAAGCAAATCTCATGCTGTTTTGAATTTCAAGAACGTGACGTTTTGAGCTAGACACCTTAGATTATTCGGAACATGTCTCGATCACCCAACAGTACTTCAATACTGAGGAGTTCGATGCATGAAAACATTCGATAAAATGAATCTGACTTTCTGCCTGCACTGCTATTAGCGTTATGAGCGACGAAACACTTATCTCGCCAGAGGATGGACGCGCAACAATGGGTGGAAGCACACCTCGCTGTTGCAAGTGTGTATCTAACCCGTGTAGAACCTGCCGCTGCGTGAAACTGGGAAGACGGTGTGCCACCTGTCGATTCGGAGACAACTGTCCGAATTCAGTACCGAAGCTCACACAATTATGCGACATTGCTACAGAAATCGCTACTTTGAAGCAAAACAGTCGGGTTCTACCTCACATCCCAAAAGGAGCGCGTATCGCGGTAGCAGACGAGCTTGCTCACCTTATCAACGACGCTGTCGAACAGGGCACTGAGGAAGCGTGGCGCAGGCTCACGTGCTTTGGATACTCTACGCTCAGTATCAACAGAGAAGCGCGAACAGCAGAAAAGACCTCTTTGGCCACACAAGTGCGCCTAAACCTATCACAGAACAGTGACACCAACAAGGTCCGTCCTTCCAAACCATCCAAACGCTCACATGCACATCGCCCGGTGGGCGAGATGACAGCGATGTCACGACGCGTGGCCTCAAAACTGACGGACGGCGATACCCGGGGAGCGCTACGAGCTCTGACCTCAGATGACTCCTTCGCATCTCCAACAGAAGAAGTCATCAAAAGGATGCAAGAAAAGCACCCAGAACCGCCCACTGACCTGCGAAACGTTCCGCCACCTGACGACATCCACGTGCCGTTAGTGGCTTCCGAGGCCGACGTTTTGAAGGCGATCAACTCCTTTCCGCCGAGCTCCAGTGCAGGTTTGGATGGGATTCGCCCCGCCCACCTGCGCTCCCTCCTCACTAAACACACCGCCGAGGCTGGAGCTCGCCTACTCACAGCTCTGACAGCGCTCACGAACTTGGCGCTCAGCGGCCGTCTTCCGGAATGCGCAACACCAGCTTTCTTTGGCGCGTCGCTGATTGCTCTTCGAAAGAAGGACGGCGGCCTGCGTCCCATCGCTGTCGGCAGTGTGTATCGCCGAATCGCAGGCAAGGTCGCCGCCACGGCCGTCTCGGCGGCCATCGGAGCTCAGCTGCGACCAGTACAGCTTGGTGTGGCCACGAGGAACGGCTGCGAGGCGGCAGTACACGCCACCAGAGCATACATCGACGAATGCGAAGCGTCCGAAAACAGCAGAGTTATCGTGAAGCTGGACATTTCCAATGCCTTCAACACCGTGCGCAGAGATGCGATGCTGGAAGCTGTGAAAACTCGTGCGCCAGAGATATACCCGTTTGTATGGCAGGGCTACAACAACGCCGCGCCACTTTTCATCGGCGACAGTAAAATCCTTTCTCAGACAGGAGTCCAGCAAGGCGATCCGTTGAGCTCCCTGCTGTTCTCTCTGACAGTGGATTCTGCCACCAGGGCTCCAGACACAGAAATAAACACCTGGTACCTGGATGATGGAACGCTGGCTGGCCCACCATCTGACGTCATCTCCAGTATCAAACAAGTGAAGGCAGAAATGAGCGAAGTGGGGCTCGCCATAAACGCAGGCAAGTGTGAAGTCACCTTCCTGGGAGGCTTCACCGACGATACCAAGCTCAGCGCCCTGCACATGCTACAAAGTGTTCTTCCCGACATCCGGGAAGTCCCCGTGGATGAGTTAGAGCTGCTTGGTGCGCCTGTACATGACGCTCAAACAAGACGTGCGCTTCTACAAGGCCAGCTCCTGGTAGAGAAGCTTATCAAGCGCCTTCAGGCTCTGGACGAGGCACATCAGGCGTTCTTCCTACTGAAGAACTACGTATCCCTTCCTCGCCTGTTGTACCTTCTTCGAAGCTCTCCAGCCTACCGCCACCCCGCCCTGCTCAACAGGATTGACGAAGCAGTTCGCCGTGGCATGGAAGTGATCACAAACGTCCAATTGCGTGACATTTCATGGCGACAAGCGACATTGCCAATCAGCCTCGGTGGGCTAGGCGTAAGGAGAGTAACAGACGTTGCCCTTCCTGCTCACCTCGCATCTCAAGTAGCATCCGCTGACACGATCGCATCCATTAACGGCTCCGCCGCTAATCGCGTCAGTGAGCTAACGAGGTGCTTGATCTCAGAGTGGGAGCGTCGCACAGGCTTGCCTCCACCGGAAGCGCACAGGCGGCGCTACCAAAGAGAATGGGATCGAGCTGAGACAGCAAGAATCAGTGAACGGCTGCTGGAAGACAGCAAAACCGATGTTGACCGAGCCCGACTCCGAGCTGCCGCACAACCACACTCTGGTGCCTGGCTGAACGCCTTCCCAGCCGCCAGCGTGGGCACGCTGCTCGACCCTGACACCCTGCGGACGGCCGTCGCCCTGCGGGTGGGAGCAGATATATGTGCTCCTCACCGCTGCCGCTGTGGAGCCGACATTGACGAGCGAGGCCTGCACTGCCTGTGCTGCCAGATGAGTGCTGGCCGGTTCCCACGCCATGCGGAACTCAACAGCGTCATCAAGCGTGGACTATCAACCGCTGGAATGACGTCTGTTCTCGAGCCGGCCGGCTTAGACCGCGGAGACGGACGTCGCCCTGACGGCATGACGACCTTCCCCTATGCAGAAGGGAAGTGCCTCGTCTGGGACGCTACCTGCGTCGACACGTTCAGCGCTTCGTCAGTCAAGGCATCCGCGGCCCGTGCGAGCTCAGCTGCAACCGTCGCCGAGAGGCGTAAGCGCCATCGCTATGCCGACATAAGTCGACGCTATCTGTTCCGCCCTGTCGCCGTAGAGACATCCGGAGCGCTCGGCCCGGACAGTTACTCCTTCTTGAAGGAGCTCGGCCGCCGTATTGTGAAGACCACAGGAGACCGACGGGACTTTGAACGCCTCATGCAGCGCGTGTCTGTGGCGGTGGTGCGCGGCAACGCCACAGCCGTTCGACTTGCGAGCGTCAATGTAAGGCCGAGTCACAGAACCAACATTGAGCCAAAATCACTTCCATGGCCACCCACAAACTCAACTGGCACCGAAGCAAAGCTCCCACCGCAGCTACCAACCACCACGTCTCCTACGACCAGACCAGCAGAACAGGAGATACTGGATCCATTGAACATGGGACTTCCCAACAATGGTATAAGCATGTGCCAGCACGTGGGCAAGAGCGTCAATCTGGCTGACATTAAGCGGCAGCTGAAGTCGAACCGGCGGATCGGCGCCTGCGACAAGAAGGTGCCGACCCCGTGCACGGCACCCGCGGATGGGGAGGAGCGGTCGGTGCCGTCGGGCGCGCAGCTGCCGCACGGCGTCTGGCTGTGCATGCAGTGCGGCCACCAGGGTTGCGCGAGGCACGCCACGCAGCACTTTAACACGCCGCGCTCCGACTCGCACACGCTGGCCGTCAATGCCGCCGCCGACTGGGGCGTCTGGTGTTTCACATGTAACGAGAAAGTGTCACTGAAGAGTAATAAGAAACTTCACGAAGCTGTGCAGTTTGTCAAGAAAAAGCAGGGAACTCTACGTCCCGGGGCCACGCCATCCAAGGAGGACACTCCGCCTCCCAAGTCTTCCAAGGGCGCCTCCGCTAAGGAGAAACAGGCTCAAGCGGATTGTGATAACGAATCACTTCCGAAGGTCAAGGGTCTGATCAACCTGGGCAACTCGTGTTACCTGAACTCGGTGCTGCAGTGTCTGAGCCAGTGCCACTACCTGACGCACTACCTAGACATCAGCAGCCGCCCAGGACGAAAGGTCACAGTCAGCGCTGACGGCGAGACCATGGAGCTGGTGCTGCCGGAGGGCGGGCCCATCACCGCCTCGCTGTGCGACTTTCTCAAGAAGATGCACATCACGGGCACCGACTCCACCGTCTCCCCCAGTCATCTGCTCAGAAAGATCGCCCTGAAGGTGCCCCAGTTTGTGGGCTGCGACCAGCAGGACGCACACGAGCTGCTGCGAGCGCTCATGGAGCAGGCGCGGCTTGAGGATCTCCGGCGGCACCAGAAGCAGATCCTGCTCGGTCTGGGGCTGCCGGCCAAGGCCGACCCCAAGGAAGTACCCGACGACATGAAGGCGCGTGCCAAGGCGCTGGGCCACCAGGTATCGCATACGACCATCGACTCCATCTTCAGCGGCCAGCTGGTCAGCCTGGTGGTGTGTCAGGCCTGCATGGCCTGCACACACCGCATGGAGCCCTTCCTCGACCTCTCGCTGCCCGCCGCCGAAGATATCATCTTCAGCCTGCTGTCGGAGCTCGACCCGCCGCCGGCCTCGGTCAGTGGGGATTCGACGGAAGACGAGCTGAACGAACCGCCGGCCTCAGTCAGTCCGGACCCGCCGGCTGACGAGCCGCCCGCCTCGGTCAGCCCCGACCCGCCGGCTGACGAGCCGCCTGCCTCGGTCAGCCCCGACCCGCCGGCCGACCTGGCCGCGGAGGAGCTCTCGGAGCGGCTCAGCGCGCTGATTGTGGACAGCGCCGGCGCCGCGGCCGCTGCGGACTCGTGTGGGGACGAGCCGGGCCCGCTGACGGTGAACGGCCGGCCGTCGTCACCGGTGGAGGCGGACGCGGCGCCGGCCGGGCTGGTGCCACTGGTCGGGGAGAGTGCTGACAAAGCCCCCGAACGGTGCGCCGGAGACGGCGGGAGCGGACCAGGTGGGGGAGAAGCAGAGCTCTGTGCCGGCGGAGAACTGCGGAGAGGCTGTGGAGGCGCGTGAGAACAGTCTGGGCGCTCCGAACGGTCACTGCGGAAGGGCAGCCGAGGAGGCCCCGCGGGAGGGCCAGTCGCCGTCACCCGGTGAGGTGCCGGGCGGTGTGCCGACGGAGGCAGTGGCGAACGGCCAGAGCTCAACGGCAGGGGTGGCGGACGGCGGCGAACTCCAGTCTGCGCCGAACGGCGGGACCTGCGCGCCAACCGAGTCTGCCCCGGCCGAAGGGACGGGGACCCCCTCACCGGCGGCCGATCCCTCGGACGGCCCGCCGCCGCCGCTGAGCCGCTGTGAGTGGCTCAGTCGAGCGCTGACCACCCTGGCGCCGCGCTACCAGGCGGCCGCTGGCGAGTGCAGCCTGCTCACCTGCCTTAACCAGTACACGGCGCCCGAGCTGCTCACCGGCAACAACAAGCTCGGTTGCGACAACTGCACCGAGCTGCGCAACAAACGGCTCACGGCGGCTGAAAAAGCAGCTGAGAAGAAACTCGGCACAGTATACAGCAACGCCAGCAAGCAGCTGCTCATCTACAGTCCGCCGCCGGTGCTGACCATCCACCTGAAGCGGTTCGAGGTGTGCAGCTTCAGCCTGCGGAAGGTGAACCGGCACGTGCAGTTCGGCGAGCGGCTCGATCTGGCCCCCTTCTGTTCCTCCATCAGCCAGGACCTGCCTCAGATGCGGGCCGGCCAGCGGCGGGTGCTCTACTCGCTGTTTGGTGTCGTTGAGCACAGCGGTCGACTGACCAGCGGCCACTACACAGCCTACGTGCGCGTGCGCCGCCGTCACGACCAGCTCACCGTCACCCCTGCGCGACTCACCACACTCGTCACCGACGCGTTCGCCGTGGCGTGTGAGCGGGCGAGGCAGCGCGCCGAGCAGACCCGACCGGAGACCACGGACGGACCGTCCCCGGTCAGGCCCGCAGAGGAGGGCCGGGAAGACGGGGAGGGCGAGGACCCCGCCGCCGCGCCACAGGAGTCACAGACGGATCAAAAACAGCCCGCCCCGGAGCCCGAGACGGAGCCGGAGCCGCAGCCGGAGGCCGGGCGGTGGTTTTACGTGAGTGACACGCACGTCACAGAGGTGACTCTGGACAAGGTGCTCAAGGCGCAAGCTTACATGCTGTTCTACGAGCGAATTGTGTAAGCGACTGCGGTAGCTTGGGATGGTGCTCTGTGCACGGGGCTGTGACGGCGCGCGAATCGTGTCCCTCAGTCTGACCGAGGTGTGATTTCGGAAAGGTCGTTTTTGAATATACCAAAGTGAAACGCATCGTGACACGGCGACACCGAGCGACCGGCATCACCTGATTTAGTGGCATTGTTTTATTGTGTCCGTCTGTGTGTGCATGATACACTGATGATATTCATGGTGGATAGTTTGTTTGAAATAAACCCTTGTACGATAGGCGTTATCACAAGTGTATTCGCGGCCATTGGGGCGACGTAAGAAAAGAAGAAAACATCTGGCCCCAAGAACTTTGAATTATCAGTTAGCATGCAAATTTTCCTTGATGTGTAGAGAATCTACGAATAATTATTAATGGAAATTGCATTTAAAATTTTCCTATTATGTTTTTTCCATCGTTTGAACAATATATTCTTTTACTAAGCTAGAAACACTGATTATAAATAGTTCCAGCATCATCGTCAAGAACAATAAGGACGGCTTGAAGTGAATACAACTATCTAAACGGTTTTGTAAGATGTGAAGATCCCTTCTAAAATTACCTGTAGAAGTATTGAAGGCAAAAGTTCACCTTTTTCACAAGACGGATGTCTATAAACTTATTCAACGTGTGACAACTCAGCCGGTATTTAGTCGCCTACAGCCCAGCTTTCCCTAATGACCGCTAGAGGCGCTGCTATCGATGTCCGCCCGTACCGCCTAACGATGTCCAATACTTGGTAGAAGGAATGAAGCTACCCTGCAAAAATTACCGCATGTAAATCGGTCAAGTGGTTGCTGAGATATCCCGCGAGTTGCTTGGGGGGGGGCGTTCAACGCCCCCACTTTTTTCGCCGGGCCATAGCATAAAAACGGCGCGCCGCAGGCGCGCCAAATTTTGGGTACCTCTAGGGAATTGATAGAAGTTTATTGTGACAAAGTTTCAAAAAAATCGGTCGGAAACTTTTTGAGATATCGAGGTTTTAGTGACGTCATGATTTCTGAGTTTTCGACCAAAAACGGCATATGTTCAAAAAACCATATAAAATCACAGAATAGACATACAGACATGCCGTACACGCCATTACACTGCCAATACCATGAACAATCAAATAGCTATCTTCGATTATTGATTATCGCTCCGCATTTTCCAAAATCTTGAACTGAATCTTTGCAATTTCTCGTGACTACCTCACGACCATGATGCCTACATGCATTTCTTAAATTTAACTTTTTGAGCCAAACGCGTACACATATGATAAAATGAATGTCACCATCGTCTTCTACGCCCCAAATTACCTATAAAACATGTGTCACAGGCTGCGAATATCAGTTTTGATTTTCGGGGATATGTGCCTACCCGGTTGACCTGACCTTGACCCTGACCTATGCTTGACTGACCCCTACATGGAACTGACACTCTTGTAAGCCTTATATGATGGATTGTGCACCGTTTTGACAGTGTTTATGACGAGAGGCGCCCATTGCGAAGTCCTGAAGTCCATGCTACTGAAAGCCCGATTTCAGGTGTTTGACCTGACCTTGACCCGACCTGTGACCTCAAAATTTAACTTTAAAGTATTCATCTGAAGCGTCTCGTCGCGTTCTTTCGTTTGCCGCCTCGTGCGTTTCGCTGCGCCTATTGGTTCTCGAGTTATCGGCTGGGGGCATTTAACGCCCCCCCCCCCCCCAGCAAACGGTGGGTGGCCAATGGCCGAAATACCCCAGCAACTGCCGGGATATAAGCCTCGCAAAAGCGTCCGCACGGCCGGCCGGTCGGCCGGCCGCTCATGCTCAGAAATTTCCGTTAATCTAAGGAAAGACTACGCTCGCTTCGCTCGCTCCGTAATCAAACTATTTTCGCAGAATTTATGGTGCATACAATTTCCTCATAAAATCAATATGCTGAGACACAGACTTCTCTATACATGGACTGTGCACTGATCTGGCCGAAGTAGCATAAGGGGCCCAAAATTGTGGCAATACGTTTGAAGCATTTGCCAGGGAGCATGGCCATTTTTCTTTGAATTATTCATTTTAACGTTCTGGAACCTTCGCTTAAATGGAAAACAAAACATTTTCCGCTATGTTTTCCTGCCAGAATTGCCAATCTTGAGTCAAAATTCCAGGCTGTGGACTTAAATATCAAGCGAAGATCAGAGGCATGCAAGTGTTTCTGTGCATTTTGAGTTGTGTGTTCAATGGTAGGTACTGTCATAAAACAGAAAGTTATACTCCCAGCTACAAGTGGACTACTTTTCACCATCGATCAGGTTGAACAAAGACAGTTTTGGTTCCCACACGTATGTATTCGTAACGATTCCCAACGGCCAGCATGGGCACAAACACCGATTTGGTCCACTATCCCAGCCCTTGGGCCGATTCTCCTGGGACGTCTTGGGTCGGCTCGTCAGAAGAGGCAGCAACAGCATGCTCTGTGATCTCTGTGACGGCTCGCTGGTCGTTTTCCAGGCGTTGATGAGATACAGGGTGCATGCTACATGTTCTTGAACAGGCATGAACTCAGCTCGCGCCCGTTGGTTTGCGGATCTTGTCCGAGTCCACACCGCGCCCACTGGTGCGCGTCGGCGGCCCCTTTCGTTTCTTGCTATGCACTTGGCTGTTCACATCCTTCACGTGGTTAGACACGAACACGTTAAACAGCGCTCCGGCCATGGTGGCGAGGATATTGCTGGTAAACTTGTGCCCCCTTCCACAAGCCACTTCCTTCAGTTCTTCGTCATCGCCGAGCATGTTCTGAACCACAGATCTGAACACATTCTTGGGACTTGAACTGCCAAAGAGGATGGTGCGAGTCTCTGACTGTGAATTCACCAGAAGTCTGTAGAGCTGGCAGACCTCCATGACGACTCGCAGGCACAGTTCACTCGGTTGCAGGAGCTTTCCACGGTTGAGGAGGTCGGTGAAGCTAGCAGCCACCAGCTTTTCTTCAGCATTCTCTGCCACCACGGTTACCAGTTGCGCCCTTAGCCCGTCAGAGAGTAGCGCGCGACACTCATCACATTTGTGAATCTTCTTGACTGAGTGGGCTAAATAGCCTGCTATGTGGTGCAGAGCCTGCTGTGTCCCTTCTGGGACGTCTTGGGCTGGGTCATCAGAAGAGGCAGCAGCGGCATACTCGGTGATCTCAGTGACGGCTCGCTGGTCGTTTTCCAGGCGCTGCTGAGAGACAGGGTGCATGCCAGCCGTCACTGTGCTCAGACCATAGCCTGAGAGCCAAATTAGGCTTTTTACGCGGACGATAGCCTGTCCTTCAAAAAATTGACGAGAGCTCGCCCAGAAGTTGCCTCCGGCCAGTTTCCGGAGATGGCCGAAGTGACCTTCTAGCCGGTCGGATTGAATCTTGCCAAGCAGGACATACTCGAGATCACACTGTCTGAGCAGATACTTGGCCAGCCCGACCAGCCCTCGACAGGTTGCTGCCACTCCACGTATCGTGTCGAGCGACATTTGCGTCTTCTTGTTTCCCTGGGCTTCCCAGCGCAGCATCATCTTTCCGAACTTCTCGATGTATGCCAGCCCTTCTTCATCTCCAGTGGAAATAGGCTGCAGAGTCGAGTCGTTGCGACGAACATGCTTCCCAGGGGACTTCACGTTGACGATGTCGAACCACCTCCGAACTTGGTGCAGGAACTCTGCTGTACCGTTTAAGGAGCCGTACTCTGCATGTTGCCCATAGTAGCGGAGCGCAGCGATGGTTGTCTCGTGAGTGGCTGCTACGGCGAGCTGCACGTTCACGCGCTCTATGCTTGTTGGATGGAGCACCTTATCCGTGAGTCGGTATGCCATCTTGGCATCAGAGCTGTACTCGATGGAGTGTACCTTTTCCAGGTGGCTGAGGTGAACATCCAGAGGAGGCCCACCTGCATCGAGTGGCGGACAGTGCAGTTGTTTTTTGTTCAGGAGGTTGAAGTACATGTTTTTGAACAAGTGGACTGAGTCGTACATGGTGTATATCCTGTCATCACTGTGTGGACTCCAGGGATTCAGGATATACTCCTGATGCCTACCATCTTCTCCAAGCGCTCGATGGAAGGCTTGGTTTGTTCTGTGTTCGTCAGTTGTAACGGACACTACACGGTACCCAAGATGGGTGAGACATCGCAGGACTTGGAAGAAGATTCTCTTCATTTCTTGGGTTGTGACGTGGGTGACTGGCGACATGGTTACCAAGTCCTCGTAGTTCCCGGCAACCGACGAAATGTGGGTGCAGAACAAGGTACTGGCGACAGCTGTTGCTTCTCCGCTGCTCTCCCAATGCAGTCTTCCTCCCGCCAGATCGAGTGCTGTGGCACAGTAAACCTCGTCCATGGCCAGATTTACCAGCCGTTCTCTTGGAGACAACTTGGCGACCCGCATCTCCAAATACTTGATGGTCCCGATCTCCTGTCCCTCTTGCACGCTTAGTGCTGACGTAAGTCTCCGGAGAGTGACTCTGTGTGGCAGGACCAGAAGACCCGAGCTGCGCATGTCTTCATACAGTCGGGGACTCGTTCGGCTCCACACCACTGCAGTGGACATGAGTGTCGTGCTGTACCTCCTCCTTTTTGCTGGACTGAGTCGGAGTTGCAGCTGTTCAGCGGCGAACTCCCCAAAAGTACCGCATGATCCAGCTGCATCGTCCGTGCTGATTTTCTGCAGAAAATGCAGTGCAGTCATCACGTTGCCATCTTTCAAAGACTGTGCCTTGAGGAACGCCAGCACGTTCAGGACCTCAGTCGTCGTTTCGAAGCTCCCGGGAACGCTTGTCAGATCAGCTGCCCTGAGAGTAGGCCACTCGTTCCCGGCTGCGTACAAACGGAAACGAAGATCACTGTAGATCGTCAGGTTTCGTACGATGACTGGAATACCTTGATCTGTGTCAAATGCCTCCATTCTGATCGTCACAATGTCCTCCTGAAGTTCAGGAACATGCATCTGTACGAGCCGGTACCCAGTCGGCAGGTCCACCGTAGAGAGCTTTCTCACCATGTCGGTAAGAGATGCCACGTTCTCGGAACGAAGCATGGATGCGGCTTGTTCCTCCCACAGTTCTCTTTGCAGCAGCATTCGTGCTGTTGGAGTCGCGCGTATAGTGGGTCGTGGAGTCTCCTGTCCGCTCTCATTCCTGCAAAAGGAGAGAAATATTTCACTTAACAACTGCGTTTAGCAACGGTTGCAAAATATATGGGAAACAAATTAGCATACATGGGTAATTTGGACATTGCCGGATAAATGCTATAAATTGATAAATGTAGCTCGGAACTTATATACACAAAAAGAAGTTATATACAGTTATATACACAAAAAGAACAATTCAGCAGCATGTGCGACCCTTTTTAACCGCTATGTATGCATGCAGGTTAACAGTTCGGCCTACGGAGGTCATGTAAGGTCAGCTTGTAAGGTCGGGTCGGGTCAGAAAAGGAAAAGATTAAAATGTGCTGAAACCGACTCCAACTCCGGGCCGTCAGTTGTCTGGATCAAAAGTTATTCAAGAAAACCATCAGAAGTAAAAACGAACATTTTTCTTCGGTTACCTCTGGTTGGTAACCCAGTTTTTGACCTGACCGAAAAATGACCGAAGTACTTTCTTACTGTTTTTTTACCGTTCTTTCGAACGCCGCCTACCGCTTGTCTCTACGACGCCCCCCCCCCCCGGCCCGCTGATGGGGCACCGGCCCGGCGCGGGTTAACGTCTGACATGATCACATTAATGACGTAACAGATCAAAGGTCATTTGAGGTAGAGTTCCCAAATTTTCACAGGTGTCAAAATGTAAAGACCATCCTCAACACCTAAGATGTCCTTAATACCTTACTAATGCCCATATTGCTTTGATGAGGTATAAACATATCAACTTACTTGTCCCGGGGTGGGAGCACTGTTGGAACTGCGGTTGGCTTGAGGCGCCGTCGCTGACGGTCGGTTCTTCTTGTCGTGGCAGTGACACAAAAGTCATCACTGGAAAAGTGGAGCTCACAAACCCCACCACTTTTAGGGTATGATTCTTTTACACCTCGTCTGATTGCTTCCAGCCACTTCTTTCGCAATGCACATTCGCGTGGAAAGCTAAATACCGATACCTTTCCCTTTCTCTTGTCACTTCCTCTCCGATGCCGTGTGATTCTATATCCAGAATAACAATTACGTACCGTACACTTCCGTGTCATCAAAAACCCTTTCAAAGGAAAATAGAAAAGATGGAAAATAGACAACTAAAATCATAGGCTAAATATCCTAAATGTGGCGAAGCCTTGCTTAATTTTAGGGCCTTGGCTTGATTGTGGCAGGATTTCAAAATAAAGAATTTGTGTGCAACTCATTTGTGCTTATTTGCGGGAGATACCTCCGATATTCTCAGATATCATTTACCACTACTATTTTCATGAAAACTGTTATTGTTTTTAACGATTTTTTTTGTTTATATCAAAATCAAAACATTTTTTTTTTTACTTACTAGACAGATAAAACTTCAAACAATATCCATGTTAAATTTTGTCAGGTTTGCAGGGTTCTTAATAAGTTAAAACTAGGTTCACTTTTGGGCCCCTTATGCTACTTCGGCCAGATCAGTGCACAGTCCATGTATAGAGAAGTCTGTGGCTGAGAGAAATGGGGATAGACAGATGAAAAATGTTTTTTAATGTTCTTGAAAAAGACGCTCTTGATGCTGTTACGTCACATGCCACCTTCTGCGGTTGACAATAATTTTAATGGTAAATTAGGCCAAATACGTGTTGAGAAGAGCTTTTGCCCTTCAGCATCTTCCGATTCATCATGTTTTTCATTTGAAAATTCGAAGTAGGTACACAAAATGTTTACCATGCGCTCAATGTTAAATGGAAACAGTGCACGGCAGACGCATTAATTTTTGAGACTGAACCTTTCATCCGTGAATGCTTAGCATAATGTAAAGCTAAAAACAGCGAATGGCAGAATGAAACAAACAACCTCTTTCACATATAGAAATAACATGCACCTAATCGGTGGTGCGCCAGATGCGCCGTTGTTTTAGCATTAACCCTCGCCCGCACATGGGGGGGTGGTGGTTGCCACCCCCCCAGGTAGTCTTTCTGCTCTGCACTCAACATTTTTAGAGCTAGAAGGCTGATTTTTCGTATAGCTGCTCCTCTATCCTTTCTTGATGTCCACTGAAAATTTCAAGTTTCTGTGATTTTTGGTTTCGGAGATATGACCTTGTTTTTCAGGTCATGTCATGACCCAAATGGACAATTCTCAACATCTTGCGCTTGCCATGGGCCTTGTGAGCTTTTGACACCCTGATTTCGGCCTTTTTTGCCAGTCTTACCTCCCACCTATCATGGAACATGTTGTTCGACGATGTACAGGGGTCAAGGTCAGGGTCAAGGTCAACCTAGGTCATCTAAGATAATTGCGTTTTAGGCAAGCGGAATTTACTTTTTGTGAAGTTTTTTGACTGCATTTTTGGTAAAAGCTTCTCAGATCATGATTTCATGTAATATGGACCCAAAAACAATCGGTGCACACATCAGTATACACACAGACACACACAGACATACAAACATATATAATTGACCTTGACCTAACTTGACCTGAAATGACCTCAGCAGCAAAATTCTGGTCGGGTAGTGTGACAAAGAGGTTCTAGCTGGCTTGGCACCAGAAAACAGCATCGTCATCGGTATTTGATAAGCAGCGCACTTGATATCCAACGGTGACCCAAAACAGCAATATTTTTTAGTTTGACCTGACCTGGAAGGTCAATGACTGACCTGAGAAGGTAAAACTGGGTATCATTGGATTCGTCTCTTCCCAAAAAATCTTTTTGGTCTTTACTGCTAAGCTCTATCTCCAACAGGAACGAAATGGCGCGGGGGGGGGGGTGGCAACCCCCCCCCCCCCCATGTGCGTTCTAGGATGGGAAAATGGCATGTGCGGGCGAGGGTTAAGACCAGGTCGGGTCAGGTCAGGTCAGGTCAACCAGTAAGGGTATTCGTAGTAGGTGTCAACCGCCTCTGACAGCTTCGTAACATGTTATGAAGGCACCAAAACTACTTCGTAAATGTTCAAATGGTTGCTAAATTCAAATTCAGCTAAAAAAACTAGCCTAGAAACTTGTAAAACTCGAAAAAGTGAACGAGCTTACCAAAGGTCAATGACCTGAACTGACCTTCAGGTGACCTTGACATCCACCCTAATGCATGGAAGCAACATTTGAACATTGGAAGAACATTTGAAACCACGAAAAGCTTACAACCGCGCGGCTAATGCGAGCCGACATACGCAAAATGGCGATTCCGGCCCATCATGGTCTCGGAAGGTCACAGGACAAAGGTCATTTGGGTTAGGGTCATATTATTTTTAGGGTAGGTGTAAAATGGATCAATGCGAAGGTACTGAAAGGTTTGTCGCGATCGGCCGCTTTTTACGTGAGTTATTCGTGAAAAACCTTAGGGGGAGGGGTCGCATCAACGTCCCTGTGCCGGCGAGTGTCCCTCTCCCGCACATGCCATTTTCCCATCCTAGAACGCATATGGGGGGGGGTGCCACCCCCCGTGCCATTTCGTTTTCCTGCTGGAGATAGAGCTTCGCGGCAAAGACCAACAGATTCTTTGGGAAGAGGCGAATCCAATGGTACCCAATTTTACCTCATTAGGACAATCATTGACCTTCCAGGTCAGGTCAAACTAAGCAGTAAGCATGTTGCTGTTTGGGGCGAAACGGCCCCCTTACGGGTGGTAGGGTCCGCCGATAGCCTTACGGGGCGCGGGTTAAATACCGGAATTGTGCTCTACCGCGCCCTGATGGGGGGGCATTTTGCCCCCCCCTGTGGTTTTTCTTAAATAGCGAGAAAACGGCGGCGCGCAGCGCCGCCTAATTTTGGGTACCTTACCGGGCATCAATTGGACACCTTCACACAAAATTTCAAGTCACAGGTCACCTCAGGTCAGGAGTTATTGAGGTCAAACTGAGGTCATGTTCAAGTAAAAATAAGCAAAAAACATGACATCTTGAAACTCTCACCAATTCTACAGTTAACAAGCAATTGTAAAGTTCTTTATGTGGTTGTGTAGAGAAAAGACGCCGCTACAAAACTGCTATCTCGGATTTTCAAAATTTTGGGATTTTGACCCCCAAAAATAAAAAATTGATTTTTTTTGAAAAACTAAAAAATTCCAAAAAATTTTGAATTTCGAAAAAAATGGAATATATGTGATAGTCCCTGCGCTCTTCGATATACATACCAAATTTTAGATCGATGCCTCTTTTTTTGGCCAAGTTATAGCGAAAAAACTTAAAAATTGATGACGTCAAATTTTTGAACTCAATTTTTTGCAATTTTAGACCTCGTAGCGCAAAACGGAGACCACCATTGAACTCCCCGTGACGAGCTGCATCGAATCGATACCCATTTCATGCAAACATATCAACTTTGAAATTTGACCTAATTTGACCTGACCTTGACCTGACCTTGACCTGACCTTGACCAAAACGTGACCTAATCTGGCCCTAAAGTCTGTCTGACCCACATAATCGCATTTGTCATGTAAAATGGACCATAAAACATGTATCACACAACACTTTCATATTGTGACCCCCCAGTGACCTGACCTCTGTGACCTGACCTGGTATCAGTGACCTCAAATAGCAAAATATGTGTTTGAAGAACATTTCCCCATCGATGATTTTCAATGAAATGCATTTTACACGATTTTACAACGCATTTCTTGAAATGCCTATAAACGGTGAAAATTCGACCTTTGACCTGACCTGTGACGTCATCGGTTTGACCGAGGTCAATGAAATTGGGTCACAAGGTAGTTTCCCGTTGGGGCTATCCAACACCGTTTACCGCTTGTCGCTATGTTGCGTGGTTCTCGAGATCTGAGGGGGGGGGCAAAATGGCCCCCCATCAGACCGCGTTGCTCGGCAGACCCCATCTGGGCGCGGGTTAAAAGACGGCCCAAGGTCACCTGACGCCAGTATATTTGCAGCGTCTTATATTCACGAAGGTTTCAATTTCCACTTTCTTCAGCCGAGTGATGATAACCAATAGCAAGGCTCTCTAAATGCAAGCCGTAATCGCCACGCAGTATGTGGAAGGCTTTTGATGTCAATACATACATACATACATTACATACATGCATACATACATACATAAAACCATATTTTCTGCGCTTTTCGCAACATTCATTAACTCAAGCGCATCTGTTTATTAACCCGCGCCCTGGTGGGGTCTGTTTATAACGCGACCTGTTTGGGGAGGGCTATTTTTTGCCCCCCTCGTATCTCCGAAACTACTGGCCGAATCCACAAAATTCAAACGGCATTTGAATGCCCAGTCAAATTTGTCAGGGAACTCCAATTTCATTGAACTCGGGGTCACCGATGACGTCACAGGTCAGGTCAAAGATAAAATGTTTTGCCGGTCACAGGTCTTCTAAGGAATGCGCTATATGATGTAACATCGAATAAAACGCATTTTATCGAAAATCAGCGATAGGGCGTCAGTTGTCTAGTGCACATGTTGCTATTAGAGGTCACTGATAACACCAGGTCAGGTCACAGGTCAGGTCACCACCCAGTAAACATGCCGACGTCGGCCTGACGTCAGGGTGACGTCGATCGGCATGCCGACGTCGGCCCGACGTCGGTCCGACCTCGGCACGACGTCGGCTGGATGTCGGGTACGCCCGCATGTACCGACGTCCAGCCTAGGTCCAGCCGACGTCGGACCGAGATCAATTGCTGAGGTCTAGCCGACGTCGGGCCAACGTCGGGGCGACGTCGGGCCGAGGACCGACATCGGCCGCTGTTTTGACCGTTAAAATGATATAAAATGCATGTTTCATGTTTCATAAAGAGCTTCTGTATTCAAAATATCCTCAGGAAAGTCAAATCCTCTTCCACGCCGCAACCCCCTGATCCGGGCTGGACGGGAAACTTTATCCCATTTGGGATTGCCCGTAAGCCGAGCTCGCCCGTAGCCGGGTGCGGTGAGTGCTTGGGGGCTGCTCGGCCTATCCTTTGGTCAGGCTGAGCCCCGGCAACTCACCAGGGCCGGGCCCAGTTCATATAGAAAGGCCAGTCGGCAATTGTCACTTTGCCAAAGTGCCACTTATCAAAGGGACACTTTTGGAAACATTAGTGCTGGTGTTGTGTAAGGGTGGCTGTATGAATCCATTTGTGGGGTCGCCATTTCCAATAAGTGTCACGTAACAGCAATGGGACTCTATATGAACTGGACCCAGGGTGCTCGCCAAGACCAATGTCTCCATCCTATCAT